CCATTAACAGTTTTGACGTCTCAATTTAGGTGCACAGCAGGCGTTAAAGGTATTATTAATGGCACACTTGACACGATCCCAGACAGCGTTCGGGTTACCAATCTCATGCATCACTGACAAATGATGGACTAGTTGACTATGATGTTATCGTACTGCAGACTGCGACTTTAGGTTACAAGTAAGAAGGTTAGAAGACAGAAGTCCCTTTGAAGCGCAGTGAGCGCCAGGAGTGCGCGTGCTAGAGCACGTTCGGATTCCAGGCATGTGCTCCAAATTGATCGACAGTTTTGTACTGATGTGCGACATCTGTAGCTGATGGTAATATGGTCAATTTGGGTTTAAGCCGTCAAGGAATTCAGAGGACACCAAGTGACGTGATGTGAAATTTTGTGCTGGAAAGCAGTGCTGCTAATGTAAAAGATGTGGTCGGCGCACTGTAGCAGAAATCGATCACCGTTGTGTCTGGTGTGCGCCGACTTCGAAACGGTCACCTAAGTGTTGTTCTGTGTATGGAAGACGACCCACTTGGGCATACATGTCACCAGCAAAAAGCAGGATGTCAGCATTTTTGCCTTGAGAAGATGAGATGAAAGTTCATGATAGAAATCGATGTTGATGCCCTCTGAACTGCATTCAGTAGGGACACAAAGTGAGGCGATGTAAAGGCACCTTGTCTTAAGACGGTGTTTATTAACTCTAATAGTGTCAGTGACCGTCCTGCTCCATAGATCGTCTATTTGGATCCGTCGGTGTACGCAGAAATCCAATGTGAGGTTTGACTGTTAAAATTGAACAAGGCATCCGGCTTAGACGGACCTCACGCAGTTCTCTTCAAATTTATGAGAATAGGTGAGAGTGGAAATAAGAAACTGAACGGCTGGAGTTGCTACGTTAAAGTCCCGATTTCCAAGAGTGGTTTAAGTTCGGAATACTACAATCCTACAGGAATTGGCATAGTCTACATCACATCTAAGCTCCCGGTCTGTCTTGATTCATAAACCGTAAGGTACTTGTGAAACCCAGCTCCAGAAAGAACAAACTGGGTTTCATCAAAAACAAAACCGTGACTTGTCCGTTGTCGAAGCACACCCACGTATGTTGGCGACATATCCTAGTAGTGTTCCTCCATTTTAAAAGTGTCCGGTTCAGATGATCGGTGAGCTCTTTGAAATGGCGTGATTAGGAAGTGTGATCGAGAGAAACCTAAATACTGTGGGGATGCTATAAGCGCGCATTTGGAGCAGAGTGAATGATTACGGTAAACGGTCACTCGCAGCCAATATCTCCAGCGTTGTTGGGCAAGGACACCCGCTGTCACTTGTCCTTTTCAATAATGATGTTAATGAAATTATGGAAATAGCACTTACCGAAAATAAGCCAAGGGTGAAGCTGCCTGCAGGCGACCGACTATTCGTCTTGGAGCACCCAGGCGACATATTTCTAAATTATGACAGTTAACAAAAGTGAAAAACAGCACTAGGCAGATTAAAACTGGCTGTCAATCCTTGCAGGCTGTTCTTCGTACGCATAAAATGCAAAGCTCCCATCTCCCTTTGGTGGTGACCAACATCTGGGTTGCCTACTGTCATGGATCAGCTAGATGCTGTTCAGAAATTCAAGTACTTATACAGTTGTACCACACAAGTTCATCTGGGAGGCCAACACAATGTAGGTTCCCTAGCGACAGTGTGAAGACCCGTCAACTTCTCGCGAGCAGTAAATTCAGACAGAGCACCGGCGCAGTGTTACATGGCGGCCACCAGCCTCAGACTAGCCATGGACGTAAATCGACCACACCGTTATCAGTTACCATCGGAGGGGTTGCGTCCAAAAAATGCTGATCGATGTGGAGCACTAGATTGGATTCCGACCATGCACTTGAAAGGGACGATCACGAGCATGATATGAACACATAGATACTTGACGTATAACGAAGCCAGATGTTTTGAACTCATATCAAAGTACGCTGAAATTTGAGCTGAGTAAGCGCACATTTTTTGTTCGTCGCAATCAGCCGACAATTCAGATATGTCGACCAGCTGTCCGGAAAAGCACCAGACGGCCGTTTCGCCCTATTGGGGCTCATCAGTGGTGCGCATCCTTCGGTCCTCTGCGGAGGATCGAACCCATGACTGCTAGTGGCTCTTGCCAACTAGCCCGCAGCTTATGTAACTGCGCCATGGAGGACGGTATCCGACCATCACGAATTGTTAGCTAAATGCGGTATAGCCCGACTTATCCTCCACTGCCATGCAGGCACCTGCCATGCAGATGACAGCGGTTGGCCTTCCGGCGTCAGGACTTCCCGGTTACGGCAGCTATGAATCGACATAGCATTTTGTGGGATCCGTAAGGGCGAATTGGTATTACTTATTGGTGGAAGGATTTCGGCGAGTATTTTTGTTCATCGCAATCAGCCGACAATTCAGATATGTCGACCAGCTATCCGGAAAAGCACCAGACGGCCGGTTCGCCCTATTGGGGCTCATCATTGGGGCAAACCGGGAAATCCTGACGCCGGAAGGCCAACCGCTTTCATCTGCATGGCAGTGGAGGATAAGTCGGGCTATATCGCATTTAGCTAACAATTCGTGATGGTCGGATACCGTCCTCCATGGCGCAGTTACATAAGCTGCGGGCTAGTTGGCAAGAGCCACTAGCAGCCATGGGTTCGATCCTCCGCAGAGGACCGAAGGATGCGCACCACTGATGAGCCCCAATAGGGCGAAACGGCCGTCTGGTGCTTTTCCGGATAGCTGGTCGACATATCTGAATTATCGGCTGATTGCGACGAACAAAAATACTCGCCAAAATCCTTCCACCAATAAGTAAGCGCACATTGAACATAGTTGCCGGTCAATGGCCAGACGTTATTAGCAGCAGGTAGGTCTTCGCGCGGCAAATCTGATTGATAACCTGAACACTAGGCAGTCCCTGGAACCAATGGATACTCATCGACAAATTCAGGCCTGGAAAGAACCCAAGACTCGTGTAAAGACCTCAGGGCTAAACTGCGTGCCAATCTGAGGAGGGACCGTGAAGACTGGGGACCTATTCGCGCATTGAAAATGAAAACAGCCACTGCCATTGATTATTCTCTTTGGCTATTCCGTTTGATACGGGGAGCGGATAGGAAGAGACGTGGAACCAGCGAGACTATATGTGACAAAAGTGGACAACCATTCCAAAGCTCGTTAAAACGCTAGGAGCGTAAGGCAAAGTACTTTGAAAAAGGAATTAATCGGCCGAAGTACCATATGCTTGCTGGCCAGTGATTACCCTGATTTTTGGGTAGAATGTTTGAATACACCCTCTCGCGCAGAAGTTGAACGTGACATCGGACTGCTGAAGTTGAATAAGGCCGATGGAACAGATTAGTTTCCTCCATCTCTCTTCAAATTCGGGAAAATTGTTGTTGTGTTGATTCATAGGATTTATTAGTGAAACCGTGGAAGCAAAAAAGCTGCCTCTACTGACTGGAGTTGCTTCGTCAGTCTCGATCTTCAAGGCGAGCTCACTTTGGAAGTACAGCAGCAATGAATAGACCTGCTCGATCTCCAGCGTCTCCAAGTTAGTTGTCACTGTCGTTCTTCACATGTTGATTCGCATCCATAAAACTCAGAAGCATAAAAAGTGGACTTGGTTTCGTTGAAATAGACGCTGCATTGACTACATCATTGGCTTGCGCGTTATTGGAGCATCGCCACTTATTTGGGCAACTACCACATTCACGTTCCTTGACATCAAAGATTGTTTTGATTCGGTGGATCGATGTGAAACGCTGGACTGTGTGGTCAGAAAAGGTGTGCCCGAGAAATACATAAACATTAGCAGAGCGCTGCATAGACGTAGTCTGTGCAGAAAGAAGGATTATACCAAACTGTTTCTGCCCTTCAATGACTCCAGCAGCGTGAGACAGGGACGCCCGCTATGACCTTTCCCTTTTAACTTAGTCATCGACGAAGCCATGAAAACTGGGTTTACTGGGCACGGCCTACAAACTACGGAGCTGCTTCCAGGTAATCGACTTGTTGACATAGTGTACGCCGACTATATTGCCCTAATCTGTGTAAGCTCACGAACGTGTCAAACAGCACTAGGTTAATTAGCCCTGGCTGTCAATCGTTTCGGGATATACATGGTACCGTTGAAATACAGACCCACTCCTGCGCTGACTCTTGGTAGGGATCAGCTAGAATTCGTTTAGAAGTTCAAGCACCTGTGCATCTGTAGTAGCAGCACCTATGGAAAATGATGTTATGGACCGTATATCGAAAACACGAGGTGTTTTTGCTAATCTTCGCCACCTGTGACGCCAGCGCAACCAGTCTCGCCCTGAGCGATAATGATCTAGCGATTTGTGAACTTAAGCTGTATGCGCTGGTTAGGTCAGGTCTTTCACACACATGCAGACCAGTTGCTTGAGTGAGTACTGTTTAGCACGGTGCCAAAATAAGTAAAACCCAGAAATGGCCAGTCGGTGCATTGAGAAAGAAGCATGGAAGAAACGCGATAAAGACGGTATGGATATGGTGCTTGCCAGTTCCACGGATGGGACCCTCGAGATCGGTCAAGTCAATGAGTAGATGAGTTAATGGATAGGGCGCGTAGTCTAGGGGTAACCACCTTGTCTCGTAATTTTGCGGCCCGGGTTCAAGCCTGCGTAAAGGCAAGGCGACCCTGGTATTATCCTTAGCCCACATGCGACCGGTGGTGGTTGCGCGGCAACCAAGCGTCGGTACCCCGTGCCGGCGTACTGCTGATACGCTTTGAGCAATTACAAGGTCAACACCGTTCTAGTATTCGTTCTCTTAGTTCTAACTCAATTGCTGTATGTGATTCGCTTGCCTGTTTGCCTATTCTTATTAAACTGTTATGATCATTAGTAAAGTGAAGTAGAGCAATAAAATACAGTGCACGTATGGTGGTCGACCACTGAACTGAGTGAATAGGTAATCAGATAATAACGAACGGGCAAAAGCAGTCGTTTTGAAACTCACACAGCATCACTGTCGAAAAGCACAGCTTCGTTTGATGGGATAGTCCAAGGAGTCGTTGTCCATACTGCGCTGTAAACATTAGCGAGAGCTGTAGAGTCCTGGATAGAGGATAAATTTTACGACAAACTTTGTATCTTCCGGAAAAATCGGTTTGGTAACTTATGCATGCGTACCACGAAATAAACAGACGGGCTGACATGATCAGCATTGTACTCCAGCTCAGATTCAGCCACAGCTGTTCTTCAAAAGCAAAATAGTTGGAACGTTCAAATACTACCTTGCCCGGTACGACCAATGAACTGGAAGTAGATCACGATACACAAGACCCTGCATTTCAAAATAAAACAAAGATGGGTTACCTTGTAATACAAAGCGGCAAATGCATCGAGCTCAGTCCGTTCGAACTGGTGATCCATCGTGGTATAGTAGTTATTCCAGTCACTCAAAATGCCCCAGCTTATGAAAGATGACCTCTGTATAGCAATGTACTTTCTGGCTACTGCCGAAGCTAAAGGATTAAAAGATGAAGAACCGTAGTAAGTACTCAACCTGATTCTCTAGTTTGGTGAGGTGAACAGTGTTCATGCTCCTTGGCTTTAAGTTCGATCGGCAGCCCGTGGCAGTCCCAGCCGGGGACGAAACTCACGCTGTACCCGGAAAGAATTCTCTGACGAATAATGACATCTTTAAAAAATTTGTTCAGTGCATGTCCGATGTGCAGTTGCCCGTTGGCGTAAGGAGGACCATCATGGAGCACAAATCTCGGGCGAGTGGTGTCGGTAGTCAGACGACTAAAGAAGGCACACCACCTAGACTGAAGACTTGAGAAGCAAAATTGAATGGCCTACAGTGACATCGGATTGTGTAGATGGGGATGAGTGTATTGCGAATGGAAAGACGGGGTGGTTTATCGTGTCGCTGTAAGTACTGCCAAAACGAAAGCCAAAGAAGAGTGGTGGTAAAGTTGTGCTCCGAAAGATGGGTTTAAGCATAATTCACTAAGTTCTGACGGATAGCATAATTTTGAGATCAAACACATATCTGAAACAAAATAATAGATAGTGGATGTGAAGCGAAGTGATGTGCAAAGCCTACTGTTAAGACATTATCAATGGGTTAAGAATGATGAGTGCTGGCATCTGAGCGAGTGGAATATAAGTCTTCAACTTTCAAAATTAGCCTTTAGTATGCTAACTTAGATGGAGAAGCAGGCAAAGGAAGATACGGTGCTCAAAAGCAATTCATAGCAACCGCACATTCGTGAACCAACGCTACATGATTAAGGTGAACACTTGATGCATATCTATTAAGAGAAGGTCGATCAATTAACTGTATGAATCCGGAGTTGAGGCCAACATACGTTATAGCTCGCAAGGCATGGCAATTGGTTCGGGACTTGGAAATAGGTCCAACAATTACTGGATAATAGTGATTGTAAAATGAATCGACCAAAGAAGATGGATCAAGTTGAAGAAAACGGTGTTCTTTGAGCCGGTCTAACAAACGATCTCGGGGATTGAGCCACCTGGGCAGATTGAGTGACGCTTCTTACACTATGTGGATGGATGGTTGCTGATCCTGAACACAAGTGGAAGTATCTTGGAATCGGAAGTGCAGGAACGGATCTGAACTTCGCAATGCGCTGAACGAATTTGTCAGTCATACCATCTCGATAGACGATACCTATGACAATGTTAGCGAATGAAACAACTGTCTTTCGTCCATAAGTATCGAATCAAAGCGTAGGCAAGCAGCTGCAACAGTATTTTATGGGCAAGCAAAACGAGGCACTTTCCAGCAAGCGGTGACCCGGCGTGTGTGGCACGTGCCAAAGTCAATGTGACCTGTACAATGTGATGTGCAATTGTAAAGAACTAACCTCACTATTATCGCCTATCACTGGTATGTGGACACCAGTCACCCGATACCAGGTAACAATGGTCAGACTTGAAAGAACCTCGAACAGAAGAGACAGGTTACAATCGATAGAAGACAGCCCACATTTTAGCCACATACATGACCTTTCAGATCGAAGGACATCACATTATGAAGAGACAAATGTCCCGGGTTCAATAAAGATATTTCAAACTTTCGTACTACATGAACAACTAAAGTGTAATCCTGTTAACATATAAGAACAGCTCAAAGCTAAGATTTACAGTAAAGTATCAAGACAGGATAAGGGCCCGTTAGGCTACAAAAACATTTATACGAATAGACTTATAAATCGGTGGAACAGCAATCCAATCTCGGTAGTAGGTATGTGTAATGCGTTATATCAAGCACCAGCCTCCAATGGCTGAGCCACATGTGGCGCGTGCCAGCACACCGACTCCTGTGAGGTGCGTTGTTTGCGCGACCGGGGTCTGGATGGAAGAAGAGAATGGGAGGTCAACCGACAATTTCGTCAAAAGGAATGAAGCCCCACACTTCGAAGTCGGTGTCAGTTGACATCTCCCGACTGCCAGGCTATGGTTCAAAGGACGATGAACATGTTTGGTTCCAACATATGCCGAGATGGCGAAGAGTTGATCTCAATGGAGTTTACGTTCTGTTTCTTCGTCCCTTCTCTTCCTGCTAAGTCTCCCCTCTAATCACGATTTCACACGCGATGCATTACATGATACTAAGCATTAGATTACTTGTCTACTGTTTTCATTTTTGATCGGAAATGTTTGGTATCTCGCTTTCTGTGTCCTTATCAATTTTTATTGCGGCACAATAGCTGAGATGTTTCTCACCTGTCGCTAACGTGTAACGATGATAATGTGGCTGCAAGTTATTGTCTCATGTAGCCGCTAGGCAAAGTCTTTGCGATACTTGCTGAATTCTAGGGTGCACCACCATCATCATTATACACGTTAGCTAGAGGTGGGAAACACCTCAGCTAGTTTACCGCAAAATTCTAGGATGCATAACAAAATTGTCTAGGAGAATACCAAGTGAGTTCAGTTTGAATTCCTGACACACTTCGAGCGCGCAGCACTAGCAATGAAAACGTGATTGGCGCTTTTGCAGATTCTAGCAATTGTAGCGGTTGTTGTAGAGAGAATCCTGACCTACAACCATTTCTGTAAACCTGGAAATGGTGCCACCAAGGCTGAAGTATGAATACAGTTGGACAAAAGGTTACTGTACTTATCGTGCCAAACACTCCCAAGTTACGGCAACAGCAAGCGAACTTCTGATGCATCGTCAAGACTTGGTAACTGAGTCTGGAAGATAAATTCATAACACCTGAACCAATCGTTAAACATCTCTTGTGGACCATGAACAAAAACAAACCAACACCGTTGACTATTGCATCATCTGAAGATAGATTGGTATCTTGGACAAAGGTGGGCTGAAGAGATAAAGTTCAAATGAGAGCCTAGACCAATCGTTACTGCGCAGATCCGATTAGCTACTGCAGCAGTAAAACGGCCTTCAGGCTTTCAGATGAAATTGGTATCATGAATGACTATAATCCGGTCGCATATGCTCCTGCTGACAATAAGGCAACGCAATAGTGATGTCGCAGATGCACGGTCCAATGAAGTCCCCAATAGCAGACGACGATAATATAGCCAAAAAACTACAACACAACCAGTAACAAACAGTGATACGGCGATATGGAGCAAGTGTCTTTCGTTGCTGTTTCATGGTTACCAAAGTAGCTTAAGCATGCCAACCACACTTATTGGTTGACTGTGGAGCAGACGATTTCAAGTGCTGCGCATCATCATTATCATTACACGTTAGCCGAGGGTGAGAAACACACTACAGCTAATGTGCCGCAATACAGAAAGGATAGAGGGGCATCGGGAGTACGCCGGTACGTAGTACCGACGCTTCGCTGCCGCGCAACCCCCAGCAGTTACACGTAGGCTAAGGATACTGCGAGGGTCGCACAGTCTCAATGGACGCTCGAACGCGCATCGTCAGAACACAAGACAAGTTTGTTACATCTAGGCTACAGGCCGACAAACAAGGATAAGGGATTGAGCAATTCAGAATAAAAAGCTGAAAAAGTGACATTATGCTAAGTATCACGTTTAAAATCGTTGTTAAAAGGGTAAGCTAAAGTGGAGGCGAGGGAAAAAGAGACTCACAACACAAACGCCACTGCGGTCGAGTCTTCGCCATGTCAACTTGTGTAGCCAACCAAAGTTGTTCATCGTTCGGGGGACCCCAGCCTAACAGTCGGTAGACACCAACCGACGTCAACTTTGAAGTGAAGGACTTCATTCTTCTCGACCAAGTCATCGCTTGGCCTCCCCTCTTCTTCGTCCACCCACACACCCAGCGCGCGAACAGCGCACGTGGCGGGAGTCGGTGGGCTGGTATGCGCAACATGTGGCAGGACCATCGGAGGCTGGTGCGTGATAGAATGGTGCTGAGCGGTTCACTTGCTCTTCTTGCACCAAATACACCACGTCGAACACGCTCAGTGCCCACGCGGTATTCTCACCAGACATGAGCTAAACTGCGAAGGCAGTGTTGATCGAAACTAACTAGTCCCTATGCCTGTCGAGTTAGCAGGCTGCTAATCCGAAGCAAAATGGATTCACCACCAGACGACTTACGTGTTGCTAGGAAAGCCTGAGGATTATGCAACCAAAGACCTTTAGCTGCGCTCTGTGAGCATGAATTAATCCAAATCTTCAAAGCCTGAGTCGCAGGCATCAAGCAAATCCCAGTGCGTTTCAGTAACTACACACCCAAGCTGAACTTGCTCCTCACCGCCTTGTGGGCCAGACAGTTGAGCCAAAGGCTAAAAGTATGCCCCATCGTAATGAGGCTAGACCTTACCGTGTTGCGATAGTTTGTGTGCCTCAGCGATCCATTAAGCTATGCTGGGTTGTGCATTTTTTGCACCTTCAGAGCCACTCACACCAGATTGGTCAATGGTTAGAGGCCAGATAAACTAAGCCTCCTGGTCCTCCAGGTTGGGGGCTGGAATAAGGTGGCTCCTTATTCCTTAAAACGGACTCCTTGTAGCCCAACGCCAAACCCGCTGCCTTGCAGTAAGGTTTTTGAACCAAAGGCTATGGTTGAGAACCCTAATCGTTCTTCTGTATAGGCCTGGGCAACCTGACGGTGTCCAGGCCACGCAATACAAGGAATTTCTCTTCAAACAGTTTCTTGATGCTCTGGCCGTCGCACAGGATAATTAGCGGTGCCCTAGCTGCTGCATTGACGAGGGTGGATAGGGGTTTGGATGATACTGACCAAGCCTACACATCTTCCTATTTCCCCTCTTACGCTCATTCACTATCACCGTCCCGTTACAGCCTCACTTTTATCCCGGATCCCGAAGGCGAGACGGAGCAAAGGCACCCAGTTTGGTTGTCAGTGTCTTCATTTCCCGCTGCCAAGTCAACTTCTGTCCACCTCGAGCCTTGCGCTACCTTACACCTGGCAGACTAAACAAGACCCTCCTAGGTAAGCGGTGACCAGGCATACGTAGCACGTTCCCGAGCCAACACAACTTATTCAGTGCTATATGTTGTTCTAGGGAGCTAGCATGATTATCACCACATAGTACTCGCCTACGCACATCATCGTTGCGGACACGCTGGTGCCATCCGACACCAGCAATGCTTCGCAAACAACGGTGATCAAAGACTTGAAGGCGCCTCAGATCTTCAGACCGAAGGGGCCAAGTTTCACTACCATAGAGCAGAACGGCCCTCACTGTGGCCTTGGATACACGGTCTTTCAGACGGAGGGAAACCCTACTGTCGCCAAAGATGCTGCAGGTTCAAGAAGGCAGCTCTCGCCTTTGCAATGAGTGAGCTCACGTCAGTCTCTATGCGTCCATCATTGCTGATGCAGCTGCCAAAATAA